GGATGAACCGGAAAGTGGTGACTCTTACGCAACTAGTATAATAATATTTGGTCGTTTCGAAGTGTAGACGTCATATACGTACAGGTATAGATATATATATATATATATAGATAGATATATACATATATATGGATGTGTGTGTGTATATATATATCTCGCATTTAACGTGCATTCCTTGGCGGAAAGCTGGTTCCGTCCGGTGGATAACGATCACGCGTCGGCGTTCATCGAATATACAACAACAACAACAACAACAACAAGAACAACAACAGGTATCTCGGGTACCTTCCTGGGAAAAAATACTCGTCGATGCTTGAACGGAGCACGGCAAGGCGGTGGTAACTTCCACTGTACGCTTATTGACGCTAGGTTCACGGAGTGCGTCGATTCGACGCACACTGAATTTTATAAACATTTGGCGAACGTCTATGTCGGTTTTCGTCGATGCAGTTACGAGAATACGTTTAATACGTTAAGCGTCACGAGAATCACCGTTTTTGACGGTTGTTCTTAGCAAAAAAGTAACAATTATTCACTTGGCGTTGCAATCTTTGCAATACACTATCAGCTTAGTTACGTTGTTAAGTATTTTGATTCGACGTCGATTGTATTGCATGCTACGATTTTAAAGTAATTCAGAAGCGTCGGCCATCGGTGACTGACATGGCGTTTAACGTGTCAAGCGTTCTCCCATAGAATTTCTTTTGTAGCGAAGATAGGAATAATTATGAATCGTTTGCAACGTTTGCGTTACACTGTTGTCAACTTGGTTGCTTTATCAACCGTTCGTGGCGTGGCGTTTAACGTGTTAAACATTTTTATTTCACATCGGTTGTCTTGTACGTTACGATTTTTAGTCATTCAGAAGCGTCAGTCACCAGCGACTGGCTTAACGCGATAAATCCTAATTTCCAAGATCTAAACGGTCGAACATCAATTTCTCCAGGAACGATATAAACCGGACAATAAACGTCCGTAGACCTAGCGTTAATAGAAACGTACTTCTATGGTACAGAGCCTGACGGGAATCGGTCCCCCGGCATCGTGGAAACGGTCGCGTACATCCTATCGGCGGGCTCGCGAGACGCGTTCGCAGTTTACGTTTAAATTACCTTTGATTCGCGGCTTAATCTCTACGCGAACGGTACGCTCTCGGAGCGGGGCACGCGCGACGCTAATACTGCTCTTATCAGAAGGCGATCATGCAACGGAGACGATCGAGGAGTAAGACGAGGTCGACGGCGCGACACCGACGGATAAAGGATAGAGAAGAGTCGACGAAGAGAGAGAGAGACGAAAGAATGAACTCTGCGCTCCAGAGGCTCCGAGTCACCAAACGATTCGACGCAGCGAAACCATAAACTCTGATATTTAACATTAAACTTCGTATAACGCATCGATGTACGAAATATCGAAGGAAAATAGTTCTCGACGCGCGTGAGATTTCTCAATTCACCCGAGAAACTGTCTGTATCTCGTTAGAGGATATCGAATATTTCCGGTGAACTTCTGGAGCGCGAAGGGTCAAAGAGGAGGGAGCCGTCTGTCAGGCATCCGAGCGATCTCGCGCGGATGATCGTGGAATCGAGGGACCGGCCGAGCGGACGCCGCGCTGGTGGGTCACTGATGATCTATCGTCTGAAAGAACCACTCGGTGACGCGTCGGAGCTGTTGCGCGGCTGCGTGGCTCTCGTCCTGTAAACGACGGTTCTCGTCTCTCAAGCGACGCACTTCGTCTTCCAGGGAGAGTCTCCGTCGCGTCTCTCTGGCTACTCTCAGTTCGAGGGTAGACAGATGGGACTGCAAGTCCGTCACGGAGTTTCTGAAACGAAGCAACATTGTTGTGTGTCTGTCTTCACGGTGATGGAAAGCGCGATGAGAACCGATGGGGGGGAACAGAGATACTCGAGAGGAAGAGGACAGCGAACGCGTGTATCTTAGAGAGTGAGTGTGAGAGAGAGAGAGGAACTCGGACGAGCGGTAACGCGTGCCAAAGCGAGTCGAACACCGTGTTCCGGCGTTCGGGAAACTTACGCGTTCGCACCGCATCTGTCGAGGAGTCTCTCGTCGGCCCATTCTTGGGGGTGCTGCTTCGATCGAGAATCTACGTGGTGGTTTTTCCAACAGTCTACGTCCGCGTCGATGTGACTCTTCGCGTCTTTCGGCGACGTCACGTTGCTCGGCGATTTCGACATCGAATGGGACGGTTTGGTGACGCGCGGCGACAATCTAAACACGCGAGAACGTGTTACAGACACGTGAAATTACGTAAGGTAATCCCGTGAACGCGCCGGCGGTCGTTCGCGTCTGTGCTCATACCTCTCTTCCTTCGACAGTTTGTTCTCGCTCGGCGCGGGACTGGACGCGGTGCTCGCGTTCGAGATCACCGTGGCCGGTCTGGCCATCGTTAGGATCACTTCCGACCCGTTCCCGTTCCCATTCCCGTTGGCGTTCCCATTCCCGTTTCCGTTCCCGTTCTCCTGATCGTTCGTCGGCAGAACGGTCAGCGCGGTCGTGCTGTTGCCGCACAGGTTCTCCCGGGACCTGCACCTGTTCTGGAACTCGAGCGTGTTGTTGTTCAGCGCTTTGGGGTTCGAGCCCTGGCTACCGTGGAGCAGCACGTTCACGTTGTTGTTCAGCTGACCGTCGTCCGCTATGTAGTCGGGATTGATCAGCTTCATCAGGTCCTCTTGCAGCGTGCTGGAGGTCAGGTTCGCGGAGTTCCGGTGGGAGTTCCGCACGCCCGGCTTCGGCCTGGGACTTTGGTTTCTGGAGCTGCCGCTCGAGGGAGTCAGGTTCCCCGCTCGGTGCTTGTTCGCCCGCCGCAGCCTGGGCGACACGCTGCCGGAGCCGGTGGACAGCTCGTCCTCGCTCTGCAGCGTCGCCGGCTCCGGGCAGCTCGGCTCGGAGATGCGGACCTCTGGCGGCAGGCTGGCGGCGAACTCCTTGGTCTGCCGGTACTCGACGTTGATCTTGTGCGGCACGGGCCGCTCCGTGATCGTGGTCTTCAGGCAGGTCACCTTCTCGCCCACCTTGAACTCGTGCGGGATGTCGTACCTGATCGAGTCGCAGCTCTGCTCGCCGTCCGCGTGCTTCCGCTCCGCCGCGGCGTGCTGGCACTCGATCATGTCGTACTTGGCGACGTCCATGTCGTACTTGCTGCTCCGTCGCTCGTAGATCTCCTCGTATTTCACCGGCGGCCTGTCCTCCTGCGCGTCGTACTTGGGACTCGAGTCGTACTCGTACTCGTACTTGCTCGGCTGCTCGTAGTCCCCGTACCTGCCGAGGTTGTTGTTGCTGCTCGACTTAGGCAGACTGTACGCCGCGTTCTGCGCCAGCGGCAGCGAGTTCGACGCGCTCAGCTTCTGGTGAGGGCCGCGATGGTGGCTCGCCTCGTTCTTGTGAAGCTCCCGCTGCGAGGCGTACACGTTCTCCTGCTTCACCTCGTACTTCTCCTTCTGCAGCTTCACGTAACTCGAGGCGACGTGGTGCACGTCCTGGCCGCGGTGCGCGTGGTCCAGCTGCTTCTGGTAGCTCTCGTGCCGCAGACTCTCCTGCAGCGCCCTCGACGACGCGTAGTTGCCGTCCTTCGAGTAACCGTCGTGACCGTGGTGCTTCGTGTTCTCGAACTGCTTGCCGCTCGCGTAGTGGGATTCTTTGGCTCGTTTCTGAACGGACTTCGGCGTCGCTATTTGGTAATTCTGGCGGGCGGGCAGCGGCGGCGGCGGAGTACCGTCCGCGCGGTGCCCGTTCTCCTGGTCCTGCGGCTCCAGCAGCTCGTACCTGCGGGGGAATCGGTTCGAACGGTTCAGAGATCAACCCTCTCGCGACGGAGCACCTGTACCATTCTTCGCTACTTTACGCAACAGTGCGACTGATCATACTTTGTCGTCGTTCGCGAAAGCGCGAGTGAACCGTACTTCGCCGCCAATGTGTTTATAGCTTTATTTTGAGTTCGCTATTGAAATAAAATAATAATATAACAGAACCAATAAGTGACTGCCGTATCTAGACGGCGTCAGCCTCTGTGGACCAAAAAGTGAGTCTACTGTCAGTTCCCAGGGACTGACGTAGCACTCAACGTGTTAAAGTTAAATTACGTGTATCGTATCTTTCAGAAAAATTATAATTCAATCATCGAAAACTTCATTCCAATGCACTCGCGCAGAGAACAGCATTGTCCGTACAGAACTCTGCCGTACAGAAACAGCCCCGCGCAAAATTCAGCCTAAGAGGCTTAGGCTAGTGCCTAAGAGGTTAACGATTAGCGTAACGAACGAAGGAAGGCGGCCGGGTTTCTCACCAGCGATCGTCGGTGCTGCTGTGGCCGCTGCTGCTGCTCGTCATCGTTCCTTCCATGGGGAAGCGCGGGTCGTTGAACGACCTGGAGCTGGACCCGGTCCCGTAGCCGGAACTGTTGCTCGATCTCGGCGGGCTGAACGAACGCTCGTATCGCCTCTGATGGCCGGACATGGCTGTCTGCTGGCCGGGCGTGTTGTCGGGGCTGGTGACGTTCTCGTAATCTCCTTCGTAGTTGGTCGACAAGTACTGGCAGTTTTGCAGCGAACACCCTCTGCGATCAAAACGGACCAATCAGGGCGGGAATCGTTATGGTTAAGGTTCACTACGCCCGTTGCACTACGAGAGTTTCCTAGCAAAAACACCCAACACTTTCCGATGGAACATAATCGACACTTGAAACTAGATTAACCAGAAATCGTGTGAAAATTAAAGAAAGAGGCTGTTTTAATATTTCACTGTTAACGAATCAAGTTGACCTTTCAAAACTCTATAAAATTTTAGCTTTCAGAACTTAGCTTGCGTTACTGAAACAATTTCCTTAGAAATTTCTCGGAGAAGGACCTATTGCTGCTTTAATAATTGCAAAAGAATTTAGGAATAGAAATAACCAATCGTTCTGACCCATCTAGTGGTTCTAGCGTTAACCCTTAGCAGTCCTATGTCGAGTCAGACTCGACATTTTATTCTATTGCAACCTCTACCTTTAACAATTTTTTCTATATTTATTTGTAGTGTCACAATTGTACCATTTAAAGGTAACATCGGTAATATCACAAGGGTGATATTAAGCTGTAATCGAATGAACTAACCCCGTGAGCCTCAAAGTGAGAAACCAAGAGCACTTCGGACCGCAAACGATTAAAAGGGCAAAGAAAACGCGCAACGTTGTCCAAATTGACCCGCGCCGGTAGAGATAGGTGCACCGAACCGGCGGTAAACGTTGCGTTAAGGAGAAAGTCGCCGGCGTAGCTCACCTCCTTGGATTGCCGTCGTTATTCGCCGGTATCACGGTGACCGTCACTTGCGCGCTGGTCTTCAGCAAGTCGACCATCTGGTCGTGACTCAACGTGGAAACGGCTACCTTGCAGATCTCGACGAGCCTCGAGCCCTGCCTCAGTCCCGCCTGCCAAGATAGTCCCATGCTTTCGACCTGCGTCACCACTCCGTCCGGCTGGACGTGGAAGCCCAACTGGCCCAGGCTGTTTCTCTTTAGGGAGAGCTCGATGGCGGGCGCGCCTTGAGTCACGGCGCGCAGCCGAGCCACTATCTCCATTAGCTCGTCCCTTTCCCCGTAATCGCCGCGCACATGAATCGTGATACACTCTCCCTGGTGGTAGTAGAGTCTCAGGCTGCGGAGCGAAGCGAATCGTATTATTCCGCGCGAGACGAGACCTAACTGCCAAGGAAGGCGTCGGGGAGAACGCGCGTACCTATTCGTTTGCGCGTGCCAGCCGAGCACGCTGACGCACGGGGCGACGAACACTATTTGTCTGGAGTATTCCTCGATCAGGACGATCGTGTCCACGCTGATTCCTAAGTAGCAGTCGGTGTTCTGGTTGCTGTCCTCCAGTATCACCTGCCAGCATATCGCGCCGCGTTGCGAAGCGTCGCAGGATAGTCTGGGCCTTACGGGTGCCTTCTTCTTGCTGCTGAACGACAGCATGGCTGTTTGGGAATGATTGGTTTTAGTCAGAGTTTGTACTGATTGGAATGTATGTTGGAGGGTGAGAGGGCGAAGCAAAGTAAAGTGAAGCGAAGTGAAGTAAAAGAAAAGAAAAGGGACGGTTAGTAAAGCGAAGCTTAATAAAGCGAAGCAAAGTAAAGCGAAATAAAGCGAAGCTTAGTAAAGCGACGCAAAGCAAAGGAAAGAAAAGTGAAGCTTAGTAAAGGAAAGCAAAGCAAAGTAAAGCGAAGTAAAATGAAGCAAAGTAAAGCGAAGCTTAGTAAAGCGAAGCGAAGTGAAGCAAAGCGAAGCAGGACAAGGCAAAGTAAGGTACTGCGCTCAACTCACAAAACTTCTGCCCGGTATCGACCACCGTCGTGGAAGAATAATTCGTGGCGAGGTCCTTCAGGTACTCCTGCCTCGTTCTCGTCGCCATCGTGGCGAATTTCTCCGATCTGCGGGTGAACACGCGAGAAAACGTTACGCCTCCATCTTTCGATTGATCGTCTCGCCCGCGGTTACCGGCGGAAAACGCGCAGGAAAAGCTAGAGAGCGAACGATAGACAATTTACCTGTGCGCCGCGTTCTCGGCGTTGATTACTTTCGCCAGCACGAAATCGGCGAATGCTTTCCCCTTGACGAAAGTGGCGCCGGGCGGCACGGGTGGTCCGAAAATCGGCACCTCCTTGCTCCTCGACACAGCCACGCTGTACTGGGTGTTATCGGAACAGGGATTCACGGCTCGGATCACGATGAACACGTGCTGAAACTGCGAGCGTATCCTCCGCGGACTGAACGGCAACGCGCCCGGCTCCTGTAATTTCACGCGAACGTTCTCTATGCGTTACGTGAATGTTAATTCATCGGTGGCTTTCGGGTCAGAACCGTGTACAACCAATCAATCATTGCAGCTGACTTCAGGGGTTAACATTAGAACTACCAGAGAGATCAAAATAACCCATTCCTGACTGCTTCTTTAACACTTTGCAGTTCTATGTCAGACTCGACATTCTATTTTATTGCAACCTCTACCTGTTTTAACAATTTTTTCTATATTTATTTGTAGTATCACAATTGCACCATTTAAATAATAAAATAGTTCTATCACTTAATTTATTTAAGGTATTCCTTTATGTTAGTTGCAAGAAATATCATTGACATTTCATCAGAAAGTAATGAATATGTATTGAGAAAAATATTTTCGTTAAATTAGTTTCAAACATCACCTATATCTCATCATAAAATATTGAATACTTCCATTGAGAAGCTTCCAAGTGCAAAGGGTTAAAGTTTACCTGGAAAACTATCGTGACGATGTCGTTTCCGATGTGCCTCTTCCTAAGCAGTTGCTGCCTGTTGTTCGGCGTGAAAGGCAGCATGGTGGACACGTGGAAGGTCACTTCCGCCCCCCGGTGCGTCGCGGCGACGGCGTGGGTGCCCGTGGAGTCGGTCCTCGTGTCCAAACCAGCCTTGTACCCCTCGAACCCGCGCAGCCGTATCCTCTGGCCTGTTTTCAGTGACACAAGACACACGATCATCGCGGCTGGCCAGAGGCGCGCCGGTGAAATCCGCGTCGGCCCGCTTACCGATAGCGTCGAGGAACTCGAGGAACGCCGGGCCGGCGTGCTGGTTGTTGTACATCTCCTCCTCGGTCCTCTGGCCGGATCTGCAGTACAGCACGCCGACCTTGTACCTGCTCGAGAGTCCTTGCTCGTCCAGCCTGGCGAGGGCCTCCTCCGCGGCGGGCGCGCCCAGCCTGAGGCAGGCGAGCTGCACTTCCGGCGCGACCAGCTCCAGAAGCTCCCTCGTCGGCAGCCGATTCCCCTGCGGCCTGATACCCAGAGCCTCCTCTGGCACCGAGCCGCGCAGCGTTAGGAGTTCCGAGGTGCGGACGATGATCCTGTACTGGCCCGCGTCCTTCCGCACGCTGATGGCCACCGGACCCAACTGCTCGTCCATGCCGAACCAGTTCTGGTGCTCTCGACCTGCGAACAAGTTCCGTGGATAGTTGAGGAGGTGCGATGGAAGCGGAGGTAATTAAGTAATTGGAGGGTTTGTACTAGGGATATTTTAATATTTGATGGTGAGCTTTCCTGTATCGAGGTGTTACAAGGTTCAATGTTAAATATCAGATCTTAGTTTTACCGGGTGAAACCAAGGTGATTGAGAGATCTCTCGAGTGCAAAGGGTGTCCCCACAGTAACCGATTTGAACCCCTTGCCTTACAATATTGTTAGACAGTAGCTTTCTAGCATGATTCAACAGTTTATACTAAATCCCATAGCAAGACAATGGAATATTTTTTGTTACTACTGTAGTACTAACAATAGTTCCAACAGATATACCTACTGAATTCAATCGTAAGGAATTAACAAGGTTCCATCAGAATCAGTTACTACAGGGTCGCGCCGACAAATCAGCCTTACCAGTCGAAAAGCAAACTCACCGAGGAAGTATCGTCTGTAATAATGTGCGCCTTCGTCGACGCTCTCGATGGGTAGCAGCCTCTTCTGCAGCGGGCAAGCGTGCTTCCATAGCGTCTCGCCGGGCGCCGGCTCCAAGACCGCGATGCCGTAGGATAAAGGCGGTCTGTGAACGCCGTTGCCTTGTGTGCAACGCGTCAGACTCACTTCTCGTTCCCCTTCGCCGCCAGTCTCGTTTCGGAAGAACGGGCACGACTCCAAGAGATCGTTACCTGCGACCAGATGACACAGCCTCTGACGATCTTGTTCGAACTGTTCCGCGATCGATGCGAATCGCGAGGATGGAGGGAAAAGACGAGAGATACCTTTCCCGTCGCCGGCGTCCTCTTCCGGTGTCTCGTCGGGGGTGGACGCCCTGAAGGAGCTGGCCGCCGACGCGCCGGTCGCGGTGTTCCTGCGCCTAGCCAAGAGGATGCCCCTCAGCTTCGCCGCGTAGCCGAGGTTCGCGGTGAGCGACTGGCAGTCGTAGTGCGCGAACGCGCGTCGCCTGTGCCTCTCCTCGACGTCCGCCGACACGACGGGGCTGGTGCTGCAGCTGTCCTCCATCGCCCGCGGCGGTTTCGCGCCCCACAATCTGTTCAACTTGAGCCGCAGCTTCGGACTGGAGCCGCCGGTCGGCCCGCAGACCTCGTCCGCGTCGATCGGCTGTCCGTCCGGGACGCGTCGCAGATAATCGACGCTGACCGAGTTCCGTTGATCCGACGGGGACGGCCGCAGCTCCTGCAGCATCGCGAACAAGTTCTCGCCGACCGTCACGGACTGGGCCACCGCGTCGATGCTTCCTAAGAGACGGCGGGATCAGTCCACCGGTCGGTGATCGACGATTTCGCGTTCGAGGCGATGTCTCCTACTTACCGTGGGACCCATACTCCCTTCTCAACGGCGTTTCCGCCACTCGCGACGCGGGGTCCGGGCTGTGCGGCAGCTCCAAGCTGGAATTCGACCTGTGAAGCGCCAATCCACGACCCACGCGGCTGCTCGGCCCTCCGCTGCCGCCACTGTGTATCGGCAGGCTCGCGATCATCTCTTCATTCTGTCGACAGACACGGAAACGCGGATTCGTCTTGCGTTACTCTCGTCGGAATCGATCTCGAAATCGAATGGGAATGAGTATACGGGACTGACTCGAATCACCTATCTTCTCTATACTCGAACACGCGGTCCACTCGGATCTACACTAGGCTAGGTTCTGGATATCAGGGGAAACCGTGTCACGATCGGAGTCGCCGATCTTTTAGTCCTCTCCCTGATCGAATGTTGCTCGTGTGTACAGAATTCAGTTTAGAGACTACAATCGACAACACGTGTAGGAAACAGTTATTGAAAATCGAGTCCTCGAGAATATATTTGAGAACCATCGAATTCAAGGACTAAGCAGATCGGTCGATCTACACGCCTACAGGCTAGGTTCTGGTCGTCAGAGGAAACCGTGTCCATGATTCGAGTCGCCGATCGTTTAGTCCTCTCCGCTTCTGATTAAATATGTTACTCATATGTACAGAATTCAATTTCGTATAGGAAACAGTTGTTCAAAATCAAGTTCTCGAGAATATCTTTGAGAACCACCGAATTCGAGGACTAAGCAGATCGGTCGATCCACGATCGGTCCTCCCTAGTTATCGACTACGGAGTCGAAGTTATGAGGAACAAGAGACGGAGGTGGAAAGTGGATGGCAATTAACTCGCGCCGAGATCTAGCCCGCGAAACGGCAACCGTTTATCGCCGTTTGAAACGCGATACTCGCGCGGAGCCGCGCGAACTCCCGCCTCGCCGATGAAACCGGGACGCGCGTCGTGCACCTGCCTCCGCGGTTTAAGCAGCTTTCACATCGTACGCACGCCGGCACGCACGCGTTGAAACGAGAGAATCACGATCGCGTACGGCCGGTGCGAGCGGAGTAATCGGTGAATCGCGGTCAGACCGTCGAATTTTATGGCGCGAGACGGAGGAAGGGACGAGTCGGTTCCGCGGCGGCGATCGAGATCGCGGAGGTCGCGGCGGACGCGTGGACGAGCGCCGTGAGTCAGCCTTTAATCCTGTACCGTTGCTCGATTCTGCAAATGTGCTCGGTGAATGAGCGATTCCATTGTTACCTCGGAACCGGTATCCCGTCCGTGCGCGTCGCAGGATTCGAGCCGAGCGGAGATTAATCGGTAGCGCGAGATCGCGTGATCCGAGCGTCGCAGGTTCTTCTGGTTCCATCGAGGGAACTCTGTCCGCTCGTGGGAAGAACTTCGAACGATTTCCAGTGGTTTTAACCCTTTGCACTCGATTTCCTACAGTGAAGCTATAAATTTCGATATTTAACACGTTGAAAGCAAATCGAATTAATATAGTTCACTCAATTAAACGATGATTATTCGCAAACATTTCTATATTATAAATAATGCTACTCATTTCGGTGATGTTTAGATTGATGAACGTATAATGATAAAAATCCAATTGTCAAATGGTTTAATATTGTATTTTTTCCATTTTGTGGACTTTGCTGTATGAAATCGTGTGGCGTTCAACGTGTTAATGTTATACTTTGTATATCAATCTGAGAAATATTCATGTAAAATAGCTTTGTCTGTTAATTCGCGTGAATTTATCGTCGAGTTGGTTCTACAAAATATCGTCTTCATCTTATCAGAAAATGTTGAGATATTTCTAGTGAAGAACTTCGGAGTAAAGGGTTAAGAGATGCGCTGTGGGATATTCGCTCGATCCGAACGGTCGAACATTTTCCAAGTTTTACACGAATTGTGAGATTGCTGGAAGTGTCCTAATGATCTTATCCTTGAAGCACGCGGAGTGCTGAGCTACTCCGGAAGTTAGTCATCTACGACGCTTGACTTTTAACCCTTTGCACTCGAAAGCTTCTCACTGGAAATATTCAACAGTCCTCGACGAGATACTGACGACACTGTTTGAAACTAGTTTAACGACCATTCACGGATAAATTAAGTAACAAGGCTATTTTAGTTAAATATTTCACATAGTAACGCAAAGATTAATTTAGAATACTAAATATTCTACTTAGTTTTTGCTGTATCAAGTCATCTACATCATCAATATTCCTTATACTTGTATAACTGCTCGAGTAACTTTCTCATAGATCAAAATGCGCCTCGATATCTGTTCAAACACAGTGTCACGCTTTTGAGATTGTAATCCAAAAGTGAAATCTCCCCGAAACTTTCGGGATAGCTAATAAACAAAGTCATTAGTACATTGTTCCTCGCGCATTCAGCTGCTCGGAGCACCGATAATTTTACAGTTTAGGTAAAACTTCGAAAACGGTCTCTCGATCTTCCAGATCGAGCGAATATTTCGCGACGCGTATTTCGATCGTCGAACGCTCGAGACGAGTCGGAACGACGGATGCGACGGCGATGACGGACGATCGGAAAGATACAGCTCGCAGGTATTTGGCACGCTCGACGATCGACGATCGGATTCCGCGCGCGTCGCTTCGCCGCTTGCACGCGCCCGACGTGCCACCCGTGCCGCTTCATCCGTGGATCATCGTCCTCACGGATGGATCCTTATCGATCCCGCGACCCTAATCCCTATTCGATCCGACACGCGACGGGGATCGCGTGTGGAGACCGAGCGGTGCGGAGCCTCGGTGCTTCTCTCGGCTAATCGCGTTTCTTGGCCGCTTCGCGTCGCCTTTTCCAGCTCCGACCGAGCGCGAAACCGTGCGAAACTTCTCGGGATACCGTTTCTCTCGGGAGATCGTCCGAGGACGAAGGAACTCGTCGATCGAACGGACGGTTCGGGTTATTCCAGCAGTATTATAGGGAACAGGGACTTGTGCTTATAATTATGAAAGTGGTCTGAGTCGAAATTTAACCATATGTTGCCAATATGCCATATAAATCCGCTTCAAATATTTCCGAATCTTGTACTACAGAGAACGCAAAAGTTCTCAAAATAGACGACGCTTTGACTAAAATCGACAATCATATCTAACAACACAGAAACCATCGAAGGATTAACACTTTGCACTCGGAAGTATTTCGTTAGCAATAACATTTTCTAACTAGACAAAGACGATGGTATTTTTTAAATGAATCCAAAGAGAAATCACAGGTGAATTGAGAAACAACGCTTTTTTATCACATCGCGCACCGATGCATTGTACATAGTTCGATATTAAATATTAAATTTTCTACCTTTACTGTTCGGCCACGTGAATGTTAAGATAATTGAAATGAAATCAATTCATTTAAGTCAACGCGTCTTTCTTGTTAATTACGGCCATTCTACTATATAAATCGTAAAGCAGAGATAAAGAGATGCAACGACGAACGCAATGTCCCAAAATCGGTCCGCACGGAATCTCCAAGCGTTCGATATACAATTCAGCTCCGGCCGGCGAAGGTTCTACCCGTTCCGAAGAATCTCCGCGCGCGAGGGGACGTTTACTTTCATTCTCCCCGTTCGCGTGTCCTCGCGCTCGTACGGGCGATTCGAACGCCGAACGAACCACTTACGAGCCGGAAATCCGGGCTAATTAGCGGATCCAATTAAAGCGTTCGCCCGATCGTCGAGACGTTCGGTCGCGTGGCTCGAACGGCCCGATAAAGCTCGAGGTCGCGGGAAACCGGCGAACAATCGGCGATCGGTGTCGCGTGCTCCTGTTCTAATAACGGTAACGGGATTACGTGTTCCGCGGATTACGTCGCGCCGCAAGGAATCCCATTCTCGACCGTTTCGAAAACGATCGCGTAGGTACAAGATCGTCTTCGAACATGTCCCACTCGTAGAAACCGGAAGACCACCGTCGAAACTCCACTGCGCGATCGTCTAAGAAGATCGAGACAAAAGTTCAGCGAGATCGTCGAGGAAGGAGGCCTGCGATCGGAGTCGATTTCTCGACGAGCGTCGTTCGGTGTCCAGTGTATCGAGTTCTCTGCAGTCGAGGATAGTCGAGGACAGTCGAGCACGGTCGAGGATCGGCGTGGTTGCGCTCCGACTAGGCACCGAACTCGTACAACGAGTTTTCCTCGCGGATTGTGGGAACGCTCGAGGTGCGTGCAACCGCAAACCCGCCTGTCCCCTTCCCCGTCCGTCGACGCGACGACGGATGGACTCATCATCGGGCGCACAATGCGTACTTACTTCGCGGCGCGGTGCCTCGCGCGCTCCGCTTGCGAAACGCCCGGGATCCCCTGCTCGCGGCACCGTGCGAACGTTGCACGAGCATGAAACCGCGCGGCGTCGGGGTATCCGTTGTCGGACACGTTCCGAGATCTGGTCCGATAAGTTTCACGGACGGCCTGCTCGCGATGACCGGGTCATCCGAGTCGTTTCGCGCGGCTCCGCTCGCCGCTGCGCCCGCAGATCGCGCGGACCGCGGATCGCCGTAGAACACCGATCATCCGAACTAGTTATGTAAATGCCCGTGCATTCTCGGCGAGATCTACGCGCGTCGAGCCGCCAGCACGGGCGTTGCGGTTCGATTCGTCGCCGCGTCCCGTTTCGTTCTCGCATTCCTCGCGTTCCCCGCGACGCGATCGCTCGCTCCACGTACGCGACGGTTTCTTTCGTCGCCGATTGTCGACGGCTTCCTCCGTCGAGCCGGAATTCGGCGTTCCGAGCATTCGGGAGCGAGTTCGCGCGGAGCCTAGAATTCCACTGTCCGCATTAGGAAAATTCAAGGTTAATGTTGTTGCTAAGTAGTCTCTATAGAATGATTTTCATTCGGACAATAACGATTCGGATAAATTCTGTTTCTCTGTTTATACAACGTTCGAAGCGCGGAATAAGCATTGTCATTGAAAGAACTTCATAACAGCCCCGTAACGTAAAGAAAATATCACCACTATGTTTAGATCTACACCTTACTTTTGTCTGAAGGATTTTGTTTGTATTACTCATACTTTGAAACAGTAATACTACCGAGTAAGAGTGACTCACTTCGAACTCGTACGTTCCTTGAGATTCGAAGGGTCTCCTACTCTTGTATGCGAATATGCGGATCTGATTGAAAGTCTTCCGCGAAAAAGCGTTCATCATTGAAATACTTGAGTAATAAACAT